AATTTGCACACAGCTAGTATGTGGTAGAGCTTAGGTTACTATACAAGCCTGGAGGCTCCAAACTGAACACCCTGTGGACTGACCCTGCTCTCTCTTGGATGGTGCTGGATCTGCCCTTTGCTTGTGCTGACCTTCTTGCAGCTGGCCTCCCCAGGCCCTGTTCCTACTCTGTCATCCACAGGTCTCCTCTGGAAGGACCCTCTTCCTCCATAGTCCAAATCTCATTTTTCATATAAGGCAAAACCAAAGCCTCCTATGACTCACTTTATCCCTTTGTGACCTTTCCAAATTTAGAATTTTCTGAGCACTTTTGAGAATGGAGTGAAACTGATTTGGCATTTGGAATCTGGGAAAATCATCTCTCTCTTCTTAAATTTATACATCAGATTCATTCAGAATTGAACTCTCCCATTCTTTCTTATTGCCTTGTAACTGTACTTGACTTTATATGGCATGAATCTTTTTCCTAATCATAATGCAGCTTGCTCCAGAGGGGGACATATTTGCCACTTTCTTTGAATGGAGGCTTTGAGCTTAAGTCTAAGATCCCAACAATTTTCCTTAACTAAACGAATACTTATGAGTACCTACTTTGTACCATGGATTGTGTTAGGCCTCAGGGAATAGCAGTAGGCAGGATAAGAACATTCCTTGCCTTCCTAGACTCTACAGATTACTGGGGATGACAAGTCAGAATAATTATAAGCATCAGGCCTGGCCTCTTTGCCTGTGAAACGCATCTCTCTTTTGGCTCACCAGACACTGCAGTTATGGCTTTCGTTTATCCCTGGCTGTTGCTTCCCTGCCACCTTCCCTGTGGTTATACTCAGTGTCCTGATGCTTCCTAAAGTGCTCTCCTCAGTCCTCAGATCCCCTAGCTTCAAAGATGGCCTGAAGTGATAACCATCACCTCTTCCCAGATGCTCTTCAAATCTATACTTCATGCCCTGACTTACTTAGTTTTACATCTAAAGTGTATTATGTTTAATTCCTGCTCAGGTTCCACTAACCACCTTGAATTCTTATTATGCCTAAAACTGAACTATTTCATTTGTATCCAGACCAGAAGGGTGGGAAAAATAGAAGCAGTGAACAAAACTTAAAAATTAATAAATGAAATAAAATTTCAGGTGGAAAGAAGTCTACTTTATCTTCTGGCTCATCTGGCCAACTACAGACTTTGCAAATTAGCTTTGCCTTTTTCTGCATCTGTCAAGCCCCATAAATAGCTTCAAAGGGCCAGGCACAGTGGCTCATGCCTGTAATCCCGGCACTTTGGGAAGCTGAGGCAGGCGGATCACCTGCGGTCGGGAGTTCAAGACCAGCCTGACCAACACAGTGAAACCCTGTCTCTACTAAAAATACAAAATTAGCCGGGCATGGTGGCGCATGCCTGTAGTCTCAACTACTGGGGAGACTGAGGCAGGAGAATCACTTGAACCCAGGAGGCAGAGGTTGCGGTGAGCAAGCCGAGATTGTGCCATTGCACTCTAGCCTGGGCAACAAGAGCGAAACTC